TTTCAGGAAAACGCTCAGCATACAAATTGACAGCATCGTCAAAATTTCTCCTACATTCGCCATAAATGAAAATCATTTCAATTTTTTCTTGCACAGTTACATAATCCGTGATGCAAAGTCAGAAGAGAATGATAGTGCATGGAACACTCTTCAAAAATTGATTAAGCACCTCTCCTGATTAGAAAGGTAAGTGTCTAATAATGATCGTTTCTTAAGTTCTATGGGCGCGGACGATGGAGAGATGCCACTAACAAATTAATTATGCAAAGTCACCCCGATGGTGAGAGGCGAGGGGACTCACCTAAAACAAGCACCCCGAATGGAACAAAAAGCTACTACGTCTTCGTCGTAACTTCCTGGGTAACGCTAAAAGTAGTTTCTCGGAAAAATTCAACGCTATCTATCACGAATGAAAAAAATTGTTTCCATAAAAACTTTACGTGAAATCTAATTCTGCAATGAAAAATGTAGGTTCTCATTTGAAATTTGAACCTTACCCCGAGGGGATAGGGCGGAATAACTGTTATTATGTCTTTTAAAAATATTTTTTAAAATATTGAACAGGTATTTTTTTATTTTTCAATCCAATGATCATTTCTGGAGAATTGCAGAAAATCTAATTTCTTGCGATTACAACGCCATCTATCACAAATCAAAAAAAAAATTTCGAACGAAACTTATGTATTTTGTGGCGTAGAATCCGAATCTGCAATAAAAAATGGGGGTTCCCATTTAAGATTTCAAAGTTGCCCCCACCCCCCCGGAAGTGGGATGGGAGGTCGAATTTGATATCATTGGATGTCCCCCTTCGAGACGAACAAATTTCATTACCCACTTTTTTTGATCCGACATGTAGTTTTCCAGATATTACGACTTATCAGGTTAAATGGGACACCCTGTATAATGTATCTTAACAAACTTATATTGTAACATATTTATAACATATCTTACTTATATTTATTGTAACATTTTGTCAAAATGTACAAAATTGTCATTTTATGTATAAAGCTGTTTTATTTCAATTAAATAATAACTCTTTAGCTTCTGCAGATAAATCTTTTTCCTTTTTTTTGAGTGTTATCCTTAGACTAATTACCAGATCTGATGATATTAGAAGATACTGCATAATATTTCCATTAGTAGTTCGTCGCGACTACATTCTGCTATGTTGGGCACGAGATTTTCTAAAAATCTTATTGCTTGCTTCTTGCGCTTCTCCCGAGAAGTAGTCAATGAAAAATAATACAAAATTATAAAAAATAATACTCCAAAATATTATTTAATTACAAAAAGGACAAAAATATACTAAGATCTTAGCACATGACGAAATCGTCAGAATATGAGGAGATAAGTATTATCATCATTAATACAGCCAGTTCACACGATTGATTTTAATCCGTTATTTTCATCTTATGAGTACTGACTTGATATGCTGTCACCTATATCAGGATTTTACGTTAAACTATGGAATTCATAAATAATCCAGCAATATATGTTACATATATATTTATATTATATATATATATTGCAATATATATATATGCAATATATATACGCAAACTCATTGGTAGAATACATTGATAATGTGGGGATATCAGGCAGATATAAAATATATCAGGCCACTGCAGATCCTCTCCACTGGCAAAAACTGAGAATTTCGATCTTACATATGTATCTCGGAGGCCTTAAAAGCCCGTATAAACTTTGTCCGATCCAAAAATATTCGATATTTTACAGGTTTTATACATTTGACAAATTTGCGCGTCTGCCATTTTGAATTGAGGACCTAATTTAAAAACGGGCTCGATACGATTGTAGAGCAATTCATCGCGAGTAAATTAAAAAAAAAAACATGGAAATCGGTGAAGGAGTACGTCGTTTAGCGATTTTTGTCCATAAAAAGACCTATTTGTCCCACTGTGCGGCCGGTCAAAGCAAGATCGGGGCATGTACAATTATTATAGATGTTCGAAAAGACCGCCATTTACTTAGATACAAATATCCAACCTACGGCGAAAATCATCCCGCATTTTTTGAAGGACATCCGCGTTTATATTCGTACATGTTTCTCGAATACATTCCTTCATATTTTCCGCTGTTGTAGGTCGCAAAAACCTTTTCTTTTACGTATCCCCAAAAGTAAAAATCGAGAGGGGTTAAGTCAGGTGATTTTGGTAGCCATTCATGAGTCCGACTACCAATTCCATTCCAATTCATTCCAATCCATCTATTATTAAATCTATCATTTAAATAATTTTTAATATTTCGGGACCTGTGAGCTGGTGCTTCATCCTGCTGAAACCATATTCGGTTGAGCAAGTCATTATTGACATGTCGCAAAAAGTTGGGCAGATCATTCTGGGAAAATGCTAAATAGTATTGCGCGTTTAGATTCTGTTCAAGAAGTATGAGCCTATGATGTCATTTCCAAGAATACCTGCCCAAACGTTAATAGACTATTGTCTTTGAAATTCTTGGCTCCTTTGCCAATGAGGATTTTGATTAGAATAATAATGATAATTATATCTATTAACGCCCTTTCTGTTACCGAACGTCATCATCTCTGCGATAAAATGTGGGTTCCTTCAAATTTGATTTAAGGCCTAGTTACAAAATTGCAAGCGTCGCTCGAAATCCCTCTGTTCTAATTTCTGGGTTAAATGGATATGGTAGGGGTGGAATCTATTTATTTTAAGTATACGATTTGCTGTCAATTTCGATATGCCGTGTTGTCTCTCGATTTGTCTGGTGGAAATTTGGGGATTCAATACAGCGGCACTCAAGGCAACCAATGAATTTGCCTCACTTGACCCAGATTTCTGTCGTATCGTTTTTAAACTGCCCTGCTGTGCCCTCTCGGTGAGTTTTCTTATTGTCTTTCTATACGCATAACGTCTGTTAGGATATTTTTCAGCATACAGCCTTTCCGCTGCACTATAATTATTTCCAGCCTCACCCAAAATACAAATCACGTCGACTATTTCGTGTAGCGGATAATCTACCATAATTACAGGATTACTAAAAAAATTTCGTAACAATGCTCAAAATATTACATTCGCCAAGAAAATATCGATGCCCTTTAACGTGCGTATGGGGTATACTTAGGTAATGGAGTATACTTCGGGTCGAAACGTGGTTGTCATAATCAAAATTGGACCGAAAGTTCAAAAATCCAAGAAATAGATTTTTTGAATTTTAGGCTGAAAATGACACGTGCTTTCGATCTTGCCTTGACCGGCCGGATTGTGCTTTCGATCTTGCCTTATAACTTAAAAAGTATTTAACGAAAAGGTACTTAATTATAGGGTTTTGGAAAGCTCTCGATGTAAACCAGAAGAATATATAATGAAAAGTAGGTAGTTCCATTTAAGAAATTGAAGATGACCTTCATGTGACCTTCAAGAAACTATTCAATGTCAAACTAATGGCATCATCTTATGCCTTCCTCAAAACCATACTTTCGTCTGAAACATTGTTTTCTATAATCAAAAATAAAAAAGTTATTTGGGATGGGACATTAAAATGGGACACCTTGTATAATATTGGGTCTGGAAAAAAGTTCGTAGCGTTTTCCCCGATAGATGGCGTCAATTGCAAATAACTCAGGAAACACAGATCGCAGCGACACCACTAAACGCTCGTTGGAAAGGTGACACTTCGAGCGTTATTTTGAGTGTATAAACATCGAAATTGGTGCAGTGGTTGGAAAGTTGTTTGCGTTTGAAAATAGAGAAAAGTAATGAAAATTTGCACTATATTTTGCAATATTATTACGACAGAGGGAAGAACGCTGCACAGGCTTGTGAAAAAATTTGTGCTGTGTACGGTGAAGGTACTTTATCAAAATCTGCTGCGCGGAAATGGTTCGCTCGCTTTCGTTCTGGTAATTTTGATGTGAAAGATGAGTCACGTTCTGGTCGTCCAATCATTGAAAAAGCTGATGAAATTCTTGAAAAAGTCCAGCAAAATAAGTATATCAGCAATGTCGATATTGTATGGAGCTAGGCATTGACCACAAAACTGTTTTAAACTATTTACACTGTAGATAACACTGGTGATAAAGCTGGCTACAAAAAGAAGCTCGATGTATGGGTTCCTCATGAGTTGAGCGCGAAAAACATGATAGATCGAATTAACATCTGCGATGCGCTGCTGAAACGCAATGAAATCGAGCCATTTCTGAAACGTGTCATAACCGGTGATGAAAAATGAATCACGTACGACAATCGGAAGCGTAAAAGATCGTGGATGAGGGATGGTGAGCCGTCACAAGCGTTCGCGAAGCCAGGATTGACGCCGAGAAAGGTGACGCTGTGTGTGTGGTGGGACTGGAAGGGAATCGTCCACCATGAGCTACTTCCAGTTGGTCAGACGATTAATTCTCAACTCTACTGTGGACAACTAGAGAGATTACGCCAGGCAATTGAAAGAAAACGGCCCGAATTGAATAGTAGGAAAGGTGTTGTCTTCCATCATGACAACGCCCGACCACACACTTCTTTGATGACCCGTCAAAAATTGTGAGAGCTTGGTTGGGAAGTTTGGATGCATCCACCATATAGTCCAGCACCCTCTGACTATCACTTGTTCCGATCTCTGCAGAACTCTCTCAACGGAATTAAGCTGGTTTCAAAAGAAGCCTGTGAAAACCACTTGATTCAATTTTTCAACCAGAAACCACAGAACTTTCTCACCGATGGCATCATGGCTCTACCCGAAAAATGGCGAAACATTGTCGATAATAATGGAGCATATTTGGTTTAAATAAATTCATTTTCACACTATAAGAAAACCAATTGAATTTTACTAAAAGAAACGCCATGAACTTTTCCCAGACCTAATATATTTGTTTCCAAATTGTTCATCAAATCTCCGCTATATATACAATTATTTTTATGTTAGTATTATATATTTTTTCTACAAATTGCATATAATATGATATAAATATATTTTTAATATGCATATAATATGATATAAATATATTTTTAATATATACTTACAAATATCATTAATTACTAACATATTGTCTAATGCAACATGTATAGTAAGGGAGCTCCATTCATCATATACAACTAGTTTTCTGAAAAAAATAAGACTATTTAATTTTATTGTAAATTCATTGAGTATCGGCAAAGTTTTATAACGGAAAAATATTAAATATTAAATATATAAATTAACAAAATTCTTTTTCACAAAATTCCAAGTTTATTCACAAAGAAATAAAATACAAGTTTAATATTCGAAATCATTTCCATTATATATATTTTCTATGATTTTTGTTCTATCTATCAGATGTTACGTCCTACTATTATGACTCCGCATATTCTAAATTCCTTTTATAAGTAAAGCGATTGAATTTTATATTATTCACTATACGTTCAAATGTTCACATTTAACGAACATGTTCCGCGATCTTTTAAGCACGGTGATGTCACATACCGATTTCTTTTATTTTATCTCCTCCTAAAAGTGTAATTACCGAAGTTTTTCTATTCTTTTTGTCAAGAAGATCCGCTGAGTTATTTTAGCCAGACGTTTTCCCTTCCAAACATCTTTTAATAACTTCCTCCTTCGGAGCAACAATTTTCTTTGAAGGCGGACCGACCAGTCAATCTCTCATATTGTTACATGACGCGACTAATTTTTGATCCTCAAGAACTCATGCCTTTTCCATGCCGTCCCTTCATAAATTTTATTGCTCATCAACTCTAACTAAACCTAATGAAATGTTGAAATCTTTTACTGCCATAGGTACCCCATTCTTTACAATATTTATCTTTGAGATACTGCAACGCACCTTTGAAATCCCACTTCTAAAAACCGTTGCAACAAAGTCCTATGACCATATTTGAATATAAACCTTAGAGCCTTGACGCAACTTCTAAAACCCCACCCTCTCCACCGAGGTAACGACCTCGTTTGTGTAAAACGAAAAGGCTTTTCGACAGACTAGCAGCCAAGACAGAAGCGTTTTTTTAAATGGGAACCTTTATTTTTTATTACACTTTTCTTCTACTAATTAATTTGAACAACTTCTGTTTAAAACATTTTTTTATTTGTCTAATATTTTTTGAAATATTTGAGGAAAACTTGATAATTTTTTCAATATTTAACTTACGATATCTCGCTAATTATTTGTCGGGAGAAAAAGTGGTACTAGTGAACTTTTTGCTCTATGTAGTCTCAAGAATATATTGTTCCAATAGCGCCTTGAATTTGGTTAATTTGATGATTTTGAAATTTCCAAAAATCAGCAAGTTAACAAAAGTCAGGGCGCTATTATAAAAATATATTCTTGAGACTAAATAAAGCTAAATAAAGCAAGAAAGTCTAGTACCACCTTTTCTTCCGACAACTAGTTAGCGAGATATCGTAAGTTAAATATTGAAAAAGTTATCAAGATTTCCTTCAATATCTAGAAAAATATTAGGTAAATGAAAAAATGTTTTAGACAAAAATTATTCAAATTAATTGGTGGAAAAAGACAATGTAATAAAAAATTTGGGTTTCCATTTAAAATTTTTATGTTGATCTTGATTGGGCTTTTCATCCCAAGGTCAAATTTATAGCGTCAGTAAATAGATCTTTTGAAGCGCTGCAACTTTTGTCTGAAATATTTTTCTCTAAATGTCGCGTTTACGAAAAAATCGGGTGATACGGATAATCTGAAACACCCCATATATAGGGTGATTCGGAACAATTGTCCTTAATATGTTATATTCTTGAGCAAATTTTAAAACTATTTTGTCTCTTGCAAATTAGCTGATGCTTAGTTACTGAGTTATTAAGATAAATGGTTCGTCCATTACGAACTAAGTACAGAAAGCAGGGACGGAAGAATTAATATCCTAGTAATTTATAATATTATATTTGCTATTACACCAGCGATTGTTAAAAGTTTTAAATTGTAAGAATAATATGGATGAATGTTATTACATGCGTCGATTAGCACATCACATCAAGCGCTCAACGCCGCGTCAGCACCTACGCCCACGCGCCCCAATGGTCAATTGCTTCGTCCCTGCCTGCCTCCTATGCCTAGCTCATAATAGACGAACTATTTATCTTAACCCATTAACGCCCAAAAGTCCTAAATATTAGCCTTACTTTGCAACTGTATTTTATGTAGAGAAAGATATTATATCAGGTGTAGTAAAAAAAAATCCATTATTTTTCCAATAGATGGCTTTAGTTATCTGTATCTCGCGTTGTATAAGTCCGATCGAGTTCCACTAGATGGCGTTAGAAAGATGAGATTTCGTACTAAAAAAACTTTTGTGACAGTTTTGTGATTAGTTGACTCAGTTTTGTTTGAGCGCGCGTCAAAGATAGACACTAGCAAAGAGAAAATACGCTATATTTTACAGTTTTTCTTCGATAAAGGCGAAAACGCAAGCCAGGCGGCTGAAAATGTGAATAGTGTTTATGGTCCTGATACTGTAACAGCCAATCACGCGCAATTTTGGTTTCGTCGATTCCATTCCGGTAATTTCGATGTCAAAGATGCACCACGCACTGGAAGGCCAATTGTCGAAAATATCGATAAAATCATGGACATTGTCGAGTCCGACCGTCATGTAAGCACTGTTTCGATTGCCTAAGAGCTAAAGATTGCACAAAAAACCGTTTGGAACCATTTGAATAAGGCTAGATACAAAAAGAAGCTCGATGTATGGGTGTCACACGAGTTAACGAAAAAAAACCTCGTGGACCGAATTTCCATCTGCGAATCGCTGCTGAATCGCAACAAAATCGACCCATTTCTGAAGCGGTTGGTCACTGGTGATGAAAAGTGGATCACTTACGACAACATCAAGCGAAAACGGTCGTGGTCGAATCGCGGTGAGCCGGCGGAAACGGTGGCCAAGCCAGGATTGACGGCCAGGAAGGTTTTGGTGGTGTTTGGTGGGATTGGCAGGGAATTATCTACTATGAGCTGCTCCCCTACGGCAAAACTCTTAACTCGGAACTGTACTGTCAACAATTGGATCGTCTGAAGGAAGCAATCGCCCAAAAGCGGCCAACTTTAGTCAATAGGAGAGGAACTGTGTTCCATCAGGACAACGCCAGGCCACACACATCGATAGTGACTCGCCAGAAGCTCCGGGAGCTTGGTTGGGAGGTTCTTATGCATCCACCTTATAGTCCGAACCTGGCACCAAGTAATTACCATCTGTTCCTGTCCATGGCGAACAATTTTGCTGGTGAAAAATTCGCTTCAAGAGAGGCTTGTGAAAATCGACTGTCTCAATTTTTTGCCAATAAGGACAAGGGCTTCTATGAGAGAGGCATAATGAAATTACCTTCAAAATGGCAACAAGTTATCGAACAAAACGGCGCATATTTGACCTAAATCGGATCATTCTAACTATGGTAATTAAAGCCTTCAATTTCATGCAAAAATAATAGATTTCTTTTTACTACACCTGATATAAGGTTAGAATAGCGTTTCCTTACGTTTTCGGGGTCGTTCTACAAGATTCCGGTATCAGAATTCGTTTAGATTCACATGAAATCCAATATGGCGGAATTTTTGGAAAAAAGTCGTGAAAAATCGACAATTTTATTTTTTATAAGCTTGATTTCGTATCGAAAACATTACTTTAATACAGATACAAGTGTCACATCTTGTCTAAAAAATGTTGCACTTTCAAGGTATGCATTGGTGAAAATGTGAATTCAAGATGGCTACCTCAAAATGGCGGTTTGAGCGAAAAAAACTTAAAAAATAATGTATTTTTAGAATAACTTCGTAAAATCTTAGTATTTAACATCAATTTAGTATCCAGAGTACTGATTTTAGGATATTTGCTGACAACTAATTCATATTACAGAATTTCAAAACGGCGGATCGAAGATGGCGACTAAAAGGCATGAATAATCGTGAAAATTTCCAAATTTTCATGAATTTTCTTCTATTATTTTCAAATTCATGAATTATTTTCGAGACGTACACACACACACACACATATACAGGGTGGGTAATTATAAACTTATAAACTTTATAAAAAACATAACAAACATCAAGATAAGTACAACGGACGGGAAAAAATAGAAATCGACTACGTAAAGTTTTGAGAAAAATTATTAAATAAATAAGCGAATAAATGCGCAGCGGTCGGAACCGCGAACCTGCTACTCCACGCAGCTTGGACCGGATTAACAGGCAACAACGGTGCGCACCGGTCAACTGTTGTTGCCTGCCAATCCGGCCCAAGCCGTGCGGAGTAGTATGCCTGCAATGCCTACACGCATGCCCACTGAGCATTTATTCGCTCATTTATTTAATAATTTTTCTCAAAACTTTACGTAGTCGATTTCTATTTTTCCCATCCGTTGTACTTATCTCGATGTTTATGTTTTTTATAAAGTTTCTAAAGTTTTTTATAAAGTTTATAAAGTTTTTTTTATGAAGTTTATAATTACCCATCCTATATATGTGCGTATGTACGTATCGAAAATAACTCATGAATATGAAAATAATAGAAGAAAATTCATGAAAATTTGGAAATTTTCACGATTATTCATGCCTTTTAGTCGCCATCTTCGATCCGCCGTTTTGAAATTCTGTAATATGAATTAATTGTCAGCAAATATCCTAAAATCAGTACTCTGGATACTAAATTGATGTTACTAGGATTTTACGAAGTTATTCTAAAAATACATTATTTTTTAAGTTTTTTCGCTCAATCCGCCATTTTGAGGCAGCAATCTTGAATTCACATTTTCACCAATGCATACCTTGAAAGTTCAACATTTTTTAGACAAGATGTGATACTTATATCTGTATCAAAGTAACGTTTTTAATACGAAATAGAGCTTATAAAAAATAAAATTGTCGGTTTTTCATGATTTTTTCCCAAAAATTCCGACATATTGAATTTTATTGTGAATCTAAATTAATTCTGATGCCGGAATCTTGTAGAATGACCCCGAAAACATAAGGAAATGCTATTCCAACCTTATATAATATGTTTCTCTAGATAAAATACAGTTGCAAAGTAAGGCTAATATTTTAGAGCTTTTGGGCGTTAATGGGTTAAATATTTTCTTGTTAAATACTAGAGGTATGCAAACCGC